ATATATATATATATATATATATATATATGTCCAGTTGAACTTTTGTTATTATATTTTACAAGTTTAATTTTTCCTTGAAGTTTTTAGTGTGTGAATAAGTGTTTTTTTATTCACTCAGGTCATTGAGGTCCCTGAGGAACTCGCTGTTTCACCCTCGCAGCTAAGTGATTTGGATAGCGATTCTGACGATGGCTACTCTACCCAGAAGGTAATTTAGTACACATTTGAATTTGATTTTTAATTTTTTCGCTCACTATTTTGAGCCTTTTTTGTCAATGTAAAGTGAGTTTTATTTTCTGTTTCCTCCTGTGTTTCAGAATGCACGTTTAATTTTTAGCTTTCATGAGAAACAAAAGTTTCTCCTTTCCTTAAAACGCTGTTTTTAGTCATTTCATTTTGTCAGAAAAACGGATGTACAATACTCACAGCTCTCGCCATGTTTGTGTGACTACTAGCACTTTGGTGGAGTTCACACTGATCAGCAACGCTTTTTTCGAACTACTTTGGTGATTCATCGATAGTCTTTCAAGGGTAAGAAGTAGGTATAATAATGGAATATTTTGCGGCCGTATTGATGGAACTATAAGTCAGAAGCCACTAGTCATTTTCTAGGCGCCAATGAGAGATGGCGTGAGAATGTTATCAGCAGGCTGGGTTTTCCGTGCACAACGCGTCATTTTGCACAACTTATCCTCATACCCGAAGGTCGTCATATGGTTTCGCGATTAGCAAACAACCCTTACTGGTAACTGCCGCCTCAAGCCTGCATTCTGCTGATGGTCGTAGTCCTATAAATGGTTGTTAGCATGTGCGCACGTATACTCATACGTCTAATGGTTTATCCATATGAAGGGCCCAAAATGGGCGAAACCGGTCGTGGGCTGTCGAAGAGTTTTCAGCAACCTTTTGAGTAGTTTCTTTTATTCAAGTATAATTTTTGTTTAGTCTGATTTCGATTGCACAAGGCACCACCTATCATTACTGGTCTCGTTACGTGTTGATCGCTTCATATTTGTTAATTAACTCCGATCCCAGTGGATTCTTAATTGATAATCATAAGGTAACGGCCACTTTAATCCTGAGATTGTAATGTTGAGCCGTGTCCTAACGTACTGCACACTATAGTCACTGGGTGAGTTTGAATTTTATGCGTTGTTGAAGACAGTTTGTGCTGAGGGGCTGGAAAGCGCTGCGTGACTTTTTATTCGTTGCTGTCAATCAACATTGCTTGTCTAATCTTTGCCTCAAGTCAAGTATCAAATTTGTCTAGCTTCCACAGGCATCCCTCTTTCAGATAAGTGCACGAATTCCGACCACTCGTGCACTCGTGATAGATGGAAATCTATGCAATGGCTCGAGCTGGCCAACACTTCGTTGTACTTGTGGTCTTGTCCACATTCGGGCAAAACTCATCCGGTGTCCTGTTTGCAGGTATGTTTTCACTACTTTCCTAGTCTCGTTTGTTTGCTCCACTGTACCCTCCTTTGCTGGTCTGGTTGGGTTTATCGAAGGTCGTTTGTTTTATATATGTCCAGTATTTCTTGGAATTTTAAACCTCATGCGAGCTTTTGATCCCTAGAAACTTTTAAGGTGAAGATAATTTTGTTCACTACCGAGTTTTGGTGAAAGGGGTTGAGTTCAATAGAAGTCGATAGACCGAGGACATCGTATGGGAATGCGATTCGACCTTAGCACATGTGATAAGATTACTTTGCCGTATAGATATTTCTCCCCAAAGCAGATACTTTCCAGGTTATTGTGTAGTAAGCGTTGTGTAATAAGCCAAACTTGATGTGCTTTAATTCTGCTTAGATTTTGTTGCTCACTGGTTAGAATGGGGATGATCTAATTACTGGTGTTTGTAGTATTTAATAACGTACTTTGCTTCTTTGTTTGCGTTGCTTTCCTATAGCACGTACCAGCATGTACAGTGCATGGAGAATTATTATAGCACATCGCTTCCCTACTTGTGCGAAGGCTATGTCTGTTCGCATTGTACAACAGAATCCTGCAATTCCATCGATGCCAATCAGAATTACACTCTTCAATCTGGCGCCAGTGCACAGTTACATAGAACCGATCAAACTGAGCTGGCTACGGACTCTGTTAGTGCCAACATTTCTGTTGTCAGTCGAATCGACACGACAACCACGGCGTTCCCCGATGGTAGCAAAGATGTGTTGCAACGCCTGGCGATCAACGAAGGAACCGTTGGTTCCCAGTATGTAGAAATAACTGCGGACCGTGCCAAACAGTTGGGGCTTATTTCAGCTGCACCGAAGGCCGACAAACACTTCGCTTCGAAATCAAGCGTCCTCGGTGTTTCAACGAGTTCAACAAAACTAAGCGCTTCCCATTTGCCGAGGGATCATGAACTCCGAGTGGGACCTACAGGAGTCGATTGGGAGCGTCTGGTATGTATTTCTTGATGGCTGCTGAGTGCAGTGATTGACCGGCTAATTGTCTTTTCTATTGTTTATCCTCGAAGGCTTCGTGCGTACTAGTTAAACGTACACTCCGTAATCAGACGCATAGTATGGCTTACTCTCATTCATTGGACAACTGACATTAGTAAAGCAATCAAAATGCTTTTGTCCCCAAAGAACGGAATTTTCCTCCACTTGTATCCTAGTCGAAATCCTATGGGAATCTTCAGGAGCCACCACAGCTTCGGGACACTTTCCGAGGGTACCACTTAAGCGATTAACATGATAAAGCGTGCAAATTGTGGTCCGTTTTCGATGTGGCTTTTGTCAGATATCGTTAATGAGCATTATACCAGTATCCACGTAATTTAAGAGCAAAAACCAGGTTTTAGCTGTTGCTCATCATCCTTCCAACATAAAAACATTTACATCAGCCTAATACTGCTGCGGTACCTGTGTTACAAGTACAAAGACAACTAATATTTCATGTGTCAGGCGAACCTCCTTGGTCCTGGCAACCGTTTTGCATCGGAATTGACTGACCCACAAACATGGCCAGTTGACTTTCGGACTGTCTGTCCCACAGTCATCTGCAAAAATCTGGTAAGCTGCGAAAAATTCTCAAGTGTCGTTTTTCCGCTGAAATCATGGTCGGATTCCGAAGAGTTCAGACGTAAGGCCTTCTGATTTCATTGGGACTCAGTGGGTCGTGTGTCGTCGGGTTGTCGAATGCTTCAGGTTCGAATGCAAAGCCATGCGTTCGCCATCCAGTCTTGGACAGCTTGTGATTCTACTCGAGGGTGCGTTTTGTTCTAACTACTATCCGTTTAGCAGAACAACATGACAGTGGTGAACAAGTTAACCAATCTAACCAGTCATCAAACATCACACAAAACCTGACGATTATGTCATTGATCTTAACCATATTTTATGGTGGATGTACGATCGGTCGGGGGCGAGATGGCCGAAGTGGTTAGAGCGCGAATTTATTGGCCGGAAGGTCCATGGTTTGAACCCGATTTCCCCTGTCTAGGCTTGGGCAACCTGGCAGTATCCCAGCCCTCGTGCTTCCTTCGGGTGGCATGGCAGCTAGGCACCAAAAGAGTGCTACAGCTGAACGATTATTTATTATTTATTTACGATCGGTTCATTCCTCTGGCTCCTTCGCTTTCCAGTGAGGCAGTTAAGCAACTATATTGTCGGACTAATTTTGCTGCTGTTGACGGTGTTGTGACTGATAAGCTACGTTGGCCATTGTTGAGCCTAATCTGGTGCGACTCTGTTCTTGTCCAAGCTGTTTTTTTTAATTTCTAGAACGAATTGTCTCGCTCAAGCCGGCGGCCACATGGTGATACCAATGTGAATCTGCGGGTCCCTTCACCACCCCGAACATCGAAGCGGAAGCAAGATTTAACCTCCACTTCGTGTAAGTGTTTCCCTAGTCATACTTTTACATAGATCAAATACTTCAACGGCATAATTGGCTCCTGCTTATCAGGGAACCAACTGATGATGAGCCCGTATATGTCGTTATTCTGCGCTACAATCACGGGAACCTTCGTCCAAACAGGGAAAGCAGGAATTCACTTAAGACACTGACGTATCAATTTTCATGTGCTAAGATTGAAATAATACCAAACAATAAAAGCGTTCATAGCTTCAGTTTCGCTTACTCTGATTCTGGCTTGTACTTTTACGAGAGATCGAACTTCAAATACAATAAGACGCTGTTGTTCATCGTGCACTCTGGGTTTTCAAATGACAATGAAGGCAGTTTAAAAACGATGTTTTCGAACGTTACCGTTTTATTTTGTAAAGTTTGACACAATTATTGGCAGTGGAGATTCGTATAGCAGCAGGATCGGGAAACAGTGCTAGAATGTGCTTTGCGTAATCATTAATTTTTTTTGGGTTTGATGACAGTTACTCATTGTAACACTTGTAGCGTTTGCTTCCAACGTCATCATCGATAGCATGACATCAATGTTCGACACTGATCCCCGCTGCCGTATTGTTCCGATCAGAATTCATTGCTTTTTCATTCTGATTTGACGTCTTTGTGAGACATAGCAAAGTATGACTACTGCAATCTTGTCATTTGGTTGTGTTTTGCCCGCCGACCAACCGTATTTGGGATGTCTGTCTGTTTTGTGAAGTACACGCGATATACGTAGTGTGGACCTGTGGAGCATATTCTAAAGGAGGAAGTTACTTCGCAGAATGTTAGTGCTTGTTCTCCACTAGCACTGACAATGTCTTTGGATGGCGGTGAGACGTTCGCAGACCACTAAATAAGCTCGACAGACAGATCAACAACGAATAGGAGCACTACCTTAGAAAGCTGTACCAGCATTTACGTGTTTGAAGTGATAAGTTAATAGGCATAATCTGTACAGTGCGTTCAAACGTAACTCTCTTCCGCTCACAACGCATTGGTCGTTTCACCTCGACTGGTGATGAAACGTTTGCAGCCAAATTGAACAGAGTAACGGCCATGTACTGCTGCCTTTGTACAAATATCGGTTCCCACTTACTACTGGATAGCGAGGCAAAGGATGGGTGAGAATATGCATTTGTTGCGCGTGAATAGCGCTGATACGGCTGAGGAATGCCTTGTGGCATAGGTGAGATCAGTGTCTGCGTGTATCAAGCCTCTTTGCTTTACGGATGCTTGACCTGGCCATTTGGTGTGACTATGTACTGAATCTGAGAACATCATAAATGAGAGATTCAGCTGGGTTCCAGGTGGATCTCTCGTCAAAAGCAAATTGGTATGTAAATACATGTGCAAGTCGAAATTCTGGAGGTGTTCTATTGCGGGTACTGGAAGATCCTAGGGAAACAAAATAGGTCAATCGGGTGTTCAGTGAAGCCATCCTTCACACTTCCGTTATATCAATTGGCCGCAATCCGTCGGCTTCAACGTCAATGATTCACACGTATCCTGCGTATCAAGTAGTGGGATTGGTGAAGAGGTTCCCAAACCAGGACTGTGTCGCTGTTGATTGTGTCTTGGAGAGGGGACATCCGAATATCAGATTCTCTAGCTTCAAATCGGACGTCAGTCTCTCTTTAATTTCCGTTGAGCATGGACAGCTAAAACACTTACTATTCGTAGGGTTAGGGGTCGGTCACAATCAACTGCTAAACTAAACTGACCGCTTTTAGTGAACGCTGAATAAACACCACCCAAAAAGACTGAATAATGGAGTGTGAACTACGAATCTGGACGCGGAATATTCTTCGCGAGTGGTACCGGAATCGGTCTAAGATGTTGCCTAGTTTTTTCTGAAGCACTGCAGCCAGCCTCTAACAATTTAATTCCAAACCTTAGGAGATATCGATAAGTCCTGCGGGACATTGATGATATCCAACATAGCTATCTAGCTTACCTCCGCAAATCCCCCGCGAATGAAGCGGTGACAGCTAAAACCACTATACGGTAAGCTCGTGGTTTTTACAGTGGATGATGTTGCTGGTGAAGCTCGCTTAAATGGTATAACCTAAGCTCTTTCGGTCTATTGCATCATGTTGCTTGCCGGTTTCGCGCAAGCTGACCAGTTGTTCGGTATTTAGTAGCCATCCTCAGATATGCCGGAGCAGTCATCACTAATTGTCTTGGGATTATGAGCTTACTATCTAGAAACTAAGCCTTTTCAATTAATCCCTGGCTTCTTCGTTACTCTGGATCCGGGTGGCTAGAAAATATTTAATCATTCTTTGCTCTGTAGCTTTACGCTGATAGGCAACACCGGATGAGTTCGTTCGCCCTGTATTTCGGCGTTACCTAAAGCTAAGAAATAGAAGTTGCGGGATTCATATATCAATTAAGGATGCGCCCTTTAGGCAATATGTATCTGACAATGTACCTGATTAGAGGGTACTCCAGATAATATTTCACACAGTCCCATTAACTTATTCTACCAACCTAGAAATTTCGTGAACCACTTGTTGCCTTTTTGTATTGCATGGTTTCAACGTCCTGCTCCGCTCTCGTTGAAGGAAGGGCGATGGCGGTGACATTCGGACTGGTTACTGCCCTGGAATACTTTGCTATGAGTGGTCTCGAATTTTCAAGTTGTGAAAACAATTGACCCATATAGTCACTGTTTTTAAAGTGCGTCCATCTGAAACTCATTTGTCCTGTTGGGGACTTCAGTTCGTTTACTTGGACCGGTGGTATAGCTTCAGTTGCTTTTCAGTACCAGCTGCCTATGTGATGGCTCTCTAATGAGACAGTTTGATAGTAAACATTGTGTGCAAGAACGCGCCTCATATTCCTACGGTTCAGTTGGACACAATTTACCGAAAAACAGAGGCTAATCGCAAAGGTGCATTTTCTTCTGTGATTTCTAAATAGGAGGAGCTCATTCCCATAACTGTTGTCCTTTTTGTCATTTTGATCTGTCTTTATACCTTGTGGAATGATTCTGATAGGCAGAGATGTTGCGAAATGAATGTACAGGTTTCCTTTGGCCCTGTTTAAGGGACTGCGCGCAGCGTATGAGTGCTCCATACTAGTTTAGGCTAACTGATTATGTGACATGATTTTGACTGTTTCTCAGATAATGACAACGAGGCTAGCGTTCCGGATTCGACGGTTGAGCGGCTAGTAGTATCTGCTCCAGGTGACGAATCGCCTTCAGCCAGTGTCACTCCAGTTACCACTCCATGCTCCACTCCCTACAAATCCAGTACGTCAGGAACCCCATCAACACCCAATCAGACATTGACCCCAGTTTCGGATCATAACAGTTCTGGACTGGATAGTCCGCTACGTCGAGTTCGGTGTGATAAGCGAAAGCAACGACCTGGGTAAGATTTTTTTCATAGCATTGCTCGATTTTTTAAAGAATTTCCCTTCTAGGAAGGATTTAGCTCAGTGGCGATTGGCGCAAGTAAACTGAATTTTGGTCGCGGTATCTTCACCCACCTCTGCTTGTAAACCTTGACCTGGGAGGTGGCACCCCGAAGCATGAACTCCTCTGGGCGGGCTTGCAGGTGCGCTAAAATACCCCAGTAGCTATGAACTAATAACCGTGACAATGCCATTAGTCTTCGGTGGAACTCAATTATTTCCAGCCGTCGGTCGATGGTCCTAAATTATGGTTCTTCAAGTTCTCTACGTGATCGACGTACAACTCCTGTCCGTTTATGGCACCAAATGGCAACCGATAAGTTATCTTACAGAGCAGAACTACGCTGAGCGTATGGGCATGGCCAACCTACTGCACACCGTAATTATCAAGCCCAATCCGGTTTTCGGGGATGGACATCTAGATTTTATCGTTCCGTTTGGACGTCCAGTTCATTTCTTTTCCACCGTTAAAGGCTACGTCTCTTCTTATTTTCTGCACTTTCTACCACTGGCCACTTAGTTGCTGAATACTGTGGGTTTTCATTTTCTCCCTCGAATGTTGAGTAAGCTGTTTTATTAACTGCTTGCTAATAGTTGTCCAACTATAGCTGTCTCGAAGGAAATACAAAGGTACCTGGTTACCGAAGTCCAGATAAGAGAAATCAGGAAGCCAGGGTTAGGTTTAAACCATGGATCTTCGGGTGAATGCTTTCTCACCTTAACCACCATAGGGTTCCGTTTCAACAACTGCTTTGCTATGTCATGTTCACCCATTTCGACTTCTTCATGGGTGACTCACGCGAGCACATCTACAACACCCTAATAAAAGTGAACAAACAGTTTTTTAGCCAACTCAGTTACCCAGTCATAATTGGCAGACCCAATGTAACTCTGGGGTGGCAGGTACGTACGTACCGTAGTGCCAATTACTGGTTTATATCGCCTGTTATTGGTGTCATATCCTGTTTCTCATTTCGCCATTTTATCCTCGTTTTTTGTAGCCGCATCCTCTTCCCAGATGGCACAAGTCCTAGCAAACTCAAACTGAACGCTCGGGTCAATCCCTTGGGGGCAGTTTGGGCCAAAGACTATCAGGAGGCGGAAGCCAATACTTACTCTGCAGCCATGGTGGACTATCTAGAGCAACGATTGTACGTTTGTCACAGCTTTTGTCATATATTTTCATCAATTAGTTGCACACTTTCTCTTCGGTGTGCCGTCGAACATGACATCTCAAACAGTAGAAGTTCTAGTTTATTGGCATTCACGAAGCTCAATTTTTGGAATCTTCGCGCGGCTTTCTTGGCTGAATCCGGTATTGACCACGTGCGTACACAAGCTCCGTAACCCTTAGGCACTTTCTATCAACTCATTTAGAAATAAGAAGACTGAGTTATCGGTCTGCGGTTTGATTGTGAATGTCTGCTATTTTACTTCGCGTTACTCTGAATATCGGCCGATAATAAACAGCACTGAAGTACTGGTACATCGACAGTTTGTACCCAATTTCATAGGCCGATTGGTTTACCTGCGTGTTGCTCGTATCCCGGGTCTCACTGTTCGAGTGATACTTTGTATGCATCAGCCGCACTGGGCTGTACTACATACCAGGATAATCACAACAATGGAAATAGAATTCCTATTTCCCCATTTAAAAAATGTCATTAAATCGGGTTCGATCGGTGGAAGCTTGTTTCGTGCTTAACTAGAAATCACTGCAACACAACGGGACGCTGATTTTGCTATCTCAACTAGTAACGAAACATCTGCAACCAAGTTTCCCGCTCCGACGTACTATTTCGGTTCAAGGTTTTCAAAATTTCCCTCTTATGGATAAAGCTTTGAATCATGGTAAATTTGCCAATATGCCTCGCGATGCGCAGCCCGAAATCACTGAAGCTTCATGATATCCCACCACCTAGCAGTAAATGCGGACAACCTGCTTTTGAAGTTCAGCGTGTTTATTGCGCAGTGGCTACAAAAACAGGTCAGTTATTCTAGCGAGATATGCTCATTTGCGTATCCATTTGGATTTCCCGGGAAACCCAGCTGAATCACTCGTTTATGATGTTCTTCTGATGTGTCCCCAAGAAGGTTGAAACCGGTCGCGGACCTATGTGCGTACAAGTCAATGATTTCTTCACTGTCATGATTTTTTCTGGTCACCAGAGGAGAAATTAACCCTTATTACAGACGTCATCTCAGCCGGTGTTTTTTGTTCTCTGCTAGGTCGGCTAACCTCGAACGTAATAATCGAATTCCTCCAAGCTTCATGAATCGCAGTTCCCTCTGCCGTGTCGTCCTGTTCGATCACGATAACAAGGTCAGTTTCAGCACAGTTAGTTGACTTGGCCTTTAATGTCCTCAATATGGTTGTTAGCACAATACCGACAATTTTTCTCGTGATGTTGAAGTGATGCATAAAATGGACGGCGATCCTTATTTCCTCGTTTTTCGAAGTCTGATCACAAACGAACTTCCTGATATTCATTCTTGAGGCCGTGGATCGTCGTCATTGCACATACACTTCGCATGAGAAGTCATGCTGTTTTCTCTGCCAATGTTAGTCTGATTCTGTTTGTCACTTTGACCGACGTACACAAATTAAATCCATCATCGCGATGTGGTCCTTCGTAGTTTTGTTCATGTCAATCCAGACGTGTTCCCCACAGAAGAATCGGCAGTCGCTTCCGTCGTATAATTAAAAAACGGCCTTCCCGTCATCAATGGTCACGTGGACGCAGTTTCCAACAAAAGTTCATTTAGTTCATGTTTTAGCCCCAAAACACCTGTCTTCTAATACCAGATACTCTGGTTTCGTCCACTCCGATGGAGTCAAGTTTATAGAGCGTTAGGTCACTGTCAACAAACTTACTACATGCATCCCCAAACACGTTAACTCGCGTTCCTCGTTTTTTGAGCTTCCTGAGTGATGTATGCAACAAAATGGAGAAAACTTTTCGTTTGACGAAATTACGAAGTATGGCTTTGGTGGTTACAACCGTTTGTTTTTCACTTTTCCTTACAGGGCCTGGAAGCCTCAGTTAGACTATCCGTGAATGATGTCATAACGGAGGTCCGTGGTGAATTTATGATGTTGGAGGAATACGAACACCACTTTGATCCCATATCCGAGTATGTTTCATGAGCCAGTGTTACCCCATATCCCTTAGCTACCGGTCATCCTGGGTTGTACACGGGTCTTAGCTGCCGCGATCTCCCTCACTTTTACACTGTCTTTCGTGCGTTGTTGATGTTCCTTTGACTCTTGATGAGAGCAGCTCGTTTTGTTTGCGCTAACTTTGGATTTATCACTGAATTCATGTTCGTTGTGTTTAATCTCGCTTAGGACTTCCGCTTTTGTGACGTGAGTTATTTGGCTTCCATCCCGCGGTTAGCTGCAGTCAGATCTCAGACCGCCTAAATATTTTATCGTAATTTTTGTTGCCTCCAAACTATCTGCGTTTGTGTTGTACTGTCTATATTGTTTCACATTCACCTCTGGTATTTTTACTTCCTAGTACGAATAATTTGAAGGCCTTCGGCTAATACGCTTCTATTTGTCTTCCAGTTACAACCGCTATGTAATGTTCTATCAAGGATTCGGTGACCGGACAATCGTCTTGGAAGCAACCCGATACGGAAACAGCGCCAGATTTGTACGCCGTTCATGCATCCCAAATTGTCGAGTAGGTTGTTCTTATGAGAATTGGCAGGATGATATTTTCCTGTATTTTTTCCGGTTTACCTAGTTAAGGTTTATCTGTCTCCATAGGGTAATGGCGTCATAATGCAAACAGTTCAGTTTCGGTTTTTGAAACCTCGGTACGCTGCTGTCATAATTGGATATTTTAAATGTTCTCCGTGCGCATTGTCACTGACCCGACCCAAAGGTGGTCACCTTGTCGTGGTGGTCGGGCTTCTGTGCTGGAACTGGCTGGAACTCAGTTCCTAAACCATGCCAGGAAGGCCAAAGAGGAGCAGCCTGACGAAGAACAGCGAGTCCCCGTACTGCTAAAGTCGTACTGTCTCCCGCGATAGGAGTGTGAAGGCACTAAGCCGTTTCCCACAGGTGACCAGCATTTCCATATTTGTGGAAGCAGCAGTGCTGCCTTCCCCCGAAGAAGGACGGGACAGTCTGATAACCAAACTGCAGAAGCTTTGGAACAAAAACAGAGTACCAGCCGAACGGAGCTCCTCGACCGTCATCTCAATTATTTAAAAAGGAATCAAGAACGTCATGCGAAAGCCATCGTGGTATCAGCCTGGTATCCGTCGCACTCTCTGGCATTATTTTACACAGGTTGATGGATTATTGGGAGAGACAGATTCGTGAGAATCACACTGGGTTTCGCCCTGCTCGAAGATATATCGACCATATCTTTACCTTAAAACAAGTCCGCCTCCCTGGATGGGTACCCTAGGACTCAAATCACCAGTGGTTAATGACATTGGCAGAAATGGCCCGATCGCGCAGTCAGTGGAGCTCGTGCATCAAAGCTATCGCCTTCAATGCGCAGCTACCCGATTTCCGAACAAACTGAACATGCCCTCACCTCCAAGCCTTGGTTATATATCCTACTTTCCCGTTTTCCGGTGATCGGAACTGTAGCAGCCTGAACCAATGTGCCTATGCCACATGGTTTATATCTGGTAAATTGATTGATTGCCACGGACAGACGATAAACATGTCGGTTGATTTGTCCCCATTTAGTTGGATCATACCGTCGTGCAGGGCAAATTCCAACTTCTAATACGAGCATCAATGGAGCTTGTGCCCGGCACTGAGTTAACCATTCCTTTTGACTTGGATTACCGGGCTTGTCGTTATCCCTTGGAGTGTGCTTGTGCTCGTTCACGATGCCCAGTACTCAAATGGTGTCGTAAATTGGTGCGCCACAAGGTTGTCCCAAACTTGGACTATAGCAAGTACATCGAATCCCAACTGAGAGTGTAAGTCCCGTCTTTTGTTACTTCTGGTTGCTCGCCTACCTATTTTTTTCAACCTATAATCCGTTTATAATGGAATTGGTATCACCTTACCGCTTATCTAGATTTTGTGCCAGTTTTTTTGGTCTCTGTGTCTTCTGAAGGCCCTTAACAGCTGAGTTAAATCAAAAATGATTGTACAGCGAGTTACCCACGCTAATTGTTGTTCAGGTCATAAAACAAACCCGTTTCTTATGTCGATCCATTTGGTTATCACCTGCAACAAATTTGTCTCCAGAAAAGTAGCCAACTTTTCATGATCAGGGGAGGTCTGACGGGCCTTGCGTTTGTAAATGTTTGGAAGCAAAGTGTAGTCAGTTTCGTAGAACGCCGTCTATCACGGAATTCGGCCACTGCTGAGGTCAACAGCTAAGGTTTAAGCAGAGCGACCTATCGTGCTACATACTGCTGATGAGCCCCAGTTTAATCGGAACAGATCATGGTTTGTTTTCGGGGTTATCCAGACTTTCCCTTCGCAACAGACGAGAATCTCTTATCATTATGAGTTGATCTCGACCGAACACAGTGTCTGGTTTCTGCATCGCTTATTTGTATTGTCCGGCTGGTCATTGCTACGAACCGCGTTTCTCTCCGTCCCATATTTTTTCTGTACGTTTGAAGTTGTGTTTTGATGCAGAACTGCAGTTTACGGTATTACCTTTCGTTTTCATCACCTACAGACTTTCTAAACCGCTTTCCCAAGAGAGTCCGAACAGCAGAACTACATCGTTCGAACATAGCGGCCTCACTGGTTCCCCGTTGTTGCGGTCTACCATGGGCAGTTCCATGTCTTCCTTCTCTAATTTGAACACTTCCCCAACCCCATCAACTCGACTGCGAAAAGAGCTTTCGGACACCAATAGCCCTTTGGAAGATGACTCCACAAAGTCTAGTGGCTATCGGCCACTTCGAGCTTCGGGATCCTGTGATGGTTATACCACCGTTGTTGATGAAAATGAGGTTCCTCACTGTTCCAAGGTTGTGTTGGACAGTGCTCCCAACCAGGAGAATAGGTCGAATGCGTCCACATTGTTGTGTGAAGACGCGGATAAAATCGTAAGCACATTTTCCGGTTGTTTTCGTTTCCACCCGTGCCGTTTTGCGTGGTCCATTCTTTGTAGATAGATATATTGAATTTCACATGCGACGTCCATCAATCGCACTGTGTCTGAACTCACTAGGGCATACTGTGTGAAATTTATCCGCCTGGTCGTCTCTCAACAACACAATCACCGTTCCGAATGTCCGCTGATTTTCTAGCCACGAATGCAGAAGACCAAGCTATAGATTTTGATCAGGTAAAATCTGCGACTTAAAGTATTCGATTGTTTGCGTCAAAAAAGGTCAAGTTTTCACCGAATAATTATGAAATCACCAAATTACACTCTGTTTCAAGCTCAACGGTGTTCATAGGTTTTTAAGAGCACGTCAAGCTGACGTGCCACATCAGTTTTATCAGCAACCGCAGCCACTGCGCAGATATCCAGCCTAACCCCCAATTCAGCGATCAACGGAACTGTGGCAGCTATAAGCACTGTACGACAAGTGGACGGTTTTTCCAGCTGCTGCTGATAGTGATGGTGATTATTAATCTCGTACGGGATGGTTTCAGTAGCCTTTTTCTTTAGTCCTGAAGCGTTGCTTTATTTTGTTTGTTTGATCGCTCCTTATCTAGTCACTTGTCTGAGTAAAGCATCTATATTGTCTTCTGGTAAGAAGCATATGCCGAGTCGGTGCGCTTGTGTTGACCGTAACTCGAGAGTTTTTTTTTTAGACGATTTGCCGTAATTCCTGAGCGTCGGTTTGCTTCAGCCTGATCTTGATTCAAACAGAGGCGCACCCGAGTTGCTCATCTACGTCGTAACCCGGCTTTTTCGCTTGCAGTATTTAATCATCGTTTGATCGCACTAGCTTGGCGTATTCGTGTTCTGCTTGAGAATGTCGATGGACTTGTTTGGGTGTCGACTGAACATAGTGTAATACTTCAATACTTTTTCTCTTTTCGATTCACGTTTTTCCTATGCGTTGACCTCCGTAGAATTTCGCAACCGTCGGACTTAAATGGTTGATTTCCTTAGATGCTCACTAGCACACCGTTATTTGCATGGCGGTTCACTGTCTTGATTCCTTGTTGATCCGTTGGAGTAACAGGTTGTTACTCTGCAACCAGAAACAAGGTAAATGGAGTAGTCCACGCTCTTCGGTGACTCGATTGGGATCGGGTCATCTTCTGTGGGGGATACAGTTTGACTTTGTCGATTAGTGTGGAGGTGCACTGGAATGACAGTTCAAGTTTTGTAGCACTTCATGGTTTTAAATACCGTTTGACTCGCACTACGTCGATGGTTGGTTTTCCTGCATAGGAGTTGATTACGTTTAATCTGAGTTCTTTGACGTTGTCCCCGTTGAATGCCTCCTCGCCCTCCGTTTTGTTACTGTGGATATTTTTTACGCTGGGTTGTCCCACGGAATCAACCTCGGAATCCAATAAAATTTGGCTTTTATCAGTGGATGGGGGTCAGTCGTTAGGTATTGGCAGGACTTTCTTCGTGGTTAACTTACCTATGGGAGCTGCTCCATGGATCAACGTATTTGCCAGTTGGTGGCCGCGCTTTGAATACATCGACTTTGACGAATAGGCTGAAGACATGGTAGGAACCCTTCTGGGTTGTGATGTATCCGAGGCGCACGGGGTATTCGATCGGTGCTTGGGAGATAAAAAAAATCCATCTGGCATAATGACTGTTTTTGATGGGATACTTCTTGGTCCGATGGGATTTGGGAGGCAGAAGGTTGTCAGTGGTTGTATGACCGGGTACAGTCAGGACATCCACGATTCTATGCAACGGTTCCACAATGCGGAGTTCACAAACAGTTCAGCATACAACACTAGCCTCTCCTTAGTTGACTAGAGAGCGTTATTGACAACAGAGACTAGTGCGGTGCGGGTGGCCCCCTTAAGTCCGTTTCAATACCAAGGTTAGAGTTTACAGCTGCGGGTTTGGCAGTCGAAGTACCACATCTAATTGAATTATGCGGAAAGAGCTACTCTCAGCGTACTCTATTTTGGACAGACTATGATAGCTCTGTACATTATCCATAACATATCTAGATTTTGTATCCTTTTCGTAAACAGAATGACGATTGTTCGTGATGCGTCGTCACCTACTCAATAGAGATAAGTAACTTGGTTATTTTTCAATATCCTGTTCATTCGCTCTTGAGCTTTTTATACATTTGTTTCATCTACTAGAAAATCACTTATTGGTAATTGATCAGATGGCTGTTGATCTGTTCACCGAGCTTGACAACTGATTTACAAACGTTTTGTCACCATTCGAGGAGACATCTTCAGTGCGCTATTTGATGGGTACTCCCTCTTTTCGTGCTTTGTAAACCATATAAACGAAAGCACGAAGAGAGCGATTACCCACCCAACCGTGCACTGAAGATGTCTCCTCGAATGGTGACAAAACGTTTGCCTTTCGTTTGCCTAGACGTAGTATGATTCCACTATACAGTCTCCAGTTTACCTCATGCTACTTTCTCTTTGTTTTAGGTCTTCGCCACTCAGTCACCACCGGCTGTAAATCGCAACAATACTTGATCTATGTGTGATTTCCCTCACTTTTCTCCAACTCCTTTTACTCTATTGGACCTATTCATGCACCTGCCTCCTCCCCGCCCCCACAATTACACTGATCGTCCCGTATTTAGTATTTTTTCTCAACCTCTCGTCATGCACACTCATCGGTTCTCATGCCTTTTGTGAACGACGCAATTGTTGTATATTGCTACTTTTCAGACCGAATTTTGAAATAGTTATTTTGATCAAGTCAACATTACAGTGCACGCTTTTCCTACCAATCAAAGTCTTCTGGCCTCGTTACTGTGGATTTTCGAACGAAGAAGAGCAATTGACCGTCTAATTTGCATAGCATGTTCCGGTTACTTCTAAGTTCTGCTTGTGCGTGTATTGCTGTCATATCATCGTATCCCCTCGGGAGTATCTTTAGTTTTCTCTCTTTCCATGACTATATTGTTAGGTCTCTGTAAGAATTTCCAGTCGATGCTCACTTCCTCGGTAGGCTGAACCATTTCCAGGGTAGAGCCCGCTATCCAAAAAAGAACACTGAAAAAGGGTGTACTTAGATCCCTAGGCTTTTTATAATATCCTTCGCTTCTGTACTGCTCTTCAGCTTTACATCTACAAGCGGAGCTACAACTGACTGAGGCAGACAGCCGCAAAATTAACGCTCCGTCCCCGTATGAATTCTAAATGCATCAAGTAAAGGGCTTGGGTCGAAAAGAAATCAAGTCATTTAGCTGTGGCAGCCTTTCGGTGCCTAACTGGCATGCCAACAAAAAGAGGCTTAAGGGCTGGGATATTGCCAGTTTGCCCAAGCCTCAACAGGAGCGATCGAGACGCGGAGGTTGGGTTCCGGATCTTCCAGTCCGTAAGCTTGCACCTTCACCATTGAGCTATCTTGACCTTGGGTCGTTGACTTAAGCATGGGTCAAACCGGCTACCAAAAATGCACGTATTTTCTATAGAGGAAAAATGTCGGTAGCTCAGGTAGCGTAGATGGGGGTTGGATTGTTCGCTGAGCTTGGCAGTTTGGTTGCAAACGTTTCGTCACCAATCGGGATGACACTATCGGTGCGTTGTCAGGGTGCGTAATGGTGCGCAGCGATGGGTCGGTGGTTGTGCCAACCACACACAAGTCAACGACCAGAAGCACGTGTGAAGTAGAGGTCTTAAATTTGTTAGACTCGGGCACTCGAGTGATTCCGCAATCCAAATGGACGATTTTCGACCATCAGGTCTGCGAATTTCGTATTTGTCTGTGGTGCCTTCTGGAACAAAAGTGCCGGAACGGGTCAGCATACCAGCCTAAAGTCTACTTTGGAGCGAATGTTTGTGCCTTACAACTTGGAAACTGCATATTTGTCCAGTCATGGATGACATGTCCCTAAGGGCTTTGTGTAGGACATGTTAGCGGGTGTATTGCGGCCTTAATAAGGTGGGAACTTTTGCGTAGTGAGCAGAGGTACAGAAGCTGACGAGCAGTATGTGCGCTCGCAGCGTTGGTCAGCCAGTAGATGTCACTGTGGGGGTTCACAACGGTTGGCCGGATGCGAAACTGCATTACGGACTTGCTATAGTGTAAACCATTTCCGTGATCAATCCTGCCTGGCCTTAGCAATGGCGCCTCTACAAGGTATCTTCTAAGCAACCATCCCCTCAGTGGTTCTTTTTTTTCAGTTCATCGCGTGAAAATCTTGTTTGCTTCTATGGTGTGATTTCTCAGCTCTCTGGTAACTGGCTGTAGGATACACTTATCCCGCAGTGACTACACGGGTTGTTTTCCTAAAATAAGGTGGACGTGAATGAACTGACCACCCGCCGGTTCATGACAACGCGACGTCTATCCCTCTCAGTAGTGACGGTTTTTTATGGTGTCCGTTAGCATTCGCTGCAGAGGGGACTTGATGGAGTGAGTGTTAATGTAAGGGACATCGTACAACATTCAGAATGGTCTATTTACCGTTGCAGATGCTTGTGTTTAACCATCCATTTAATGTCATAAACCGGAGATGGCCACATCGTGAAGAAGAGTGAAAGTTGTTCAGCTGTAAAGCCCTTTCGGCGTTTAGCTTCCAAAGCACCCGAAGGAAGCACGACGGCTGGGATATTTCCAGGCTGCCCAAGTCCAGAGGGGAAAAGTCGAGCCGTGAACCTTCCGGTTAGTAAATTCGCGCTCTAACCACTGAACTCTCTCGCTCACAACGTGAGCTGTCATCTACTGAGATGTATTGGATCTAACCAATCGGACTGCTGGCTACTCATCGAACCCTCCCTGAGGACTTGATTGGAACCGGGCCGTTGGTCTAGTGTCTGGCCAGATGTCTATACAGGTTATCTGGAGTGGACAATTTTGGAACTGACTATTTTACAGAGAAGTAGATTACAGCCTGATTACAACCCTCTCTAATAGGGTGATCAGGATGTGTCTCCAGAAGAGTAATTTAGTCGAAAATGGGTGTCTTACTACATTTATTGTGTTACAAACTCAGAATAACTCGTGGTTTAGGCTGTTCCCCGAAAATGTATGGTAACATAACATGAGCCTGAGAAACCTCTCTTCAGCCAACCACCAGCTTTCTAATTGAAGGTGAATTTGGGTTTCGATTATCCAGTTATCAATGCTGCTAGCAATGATCGACCGACCCCGAGTGCCGTGGAGCCAATCAGATAGTCGACCAACAGCGAACAAACGTATATGAACATCCAACGAAATATGCAAAGAGCGGCGCATTTTGTTTGTGATATACTAGGAACTCAGTGCTCCTCGCCCTTTTAGCATAGATAGACTTAAGTTACGGGACGAGATCCATTTAAAAAACCAGTTCTCACACTACTAAGAACTCATTTTTTGCATCAATAAGCTAAGATGCCGATGGAATGAAGCAATTTCCTCCCGATCGAGTTCTGGAAAGGCACAACGCTGTATCCCTTAAATCGCTCAGGACGTCTTCTAGACGTTCTTATGCTTACGAAAACAGCTGTTAATCAACCGTCACGAAGAGACTGGACCTTACCGTGGTGTGACAGTTTGCGCACCTCAGCGATCCATTGAGCTATACTGAAGAGTGTCCCGCGACACTCACAGAGTCTCTCATACCAGGTTGGTCAATGGTTAGAGGTCTGACGAACACAGTCTCCTGGCCCTCCAGTTTGGGGGTTGGAACATGTGGCGACTTGTTCCGTAGAAATGGTAATGCATTTGCATTTCCCGCCAAACACCGCTGCCTTGCGGTTAGGCTTTTGAGCCAAAGGCTTTGGTTGAGGACCGTAGTCGTCCTCCTGAGAGGTGTGGGCGCCCGTTGATGATGATGATGACTGTTAATCAACCCCAGACCAGCTTCTTATTGGATATCGTAAATCCATTTCCATCTCGGAGTTTACCTAGCCTCTGTTGCTCCTTTTCGTGCACTAACTCACTTAAAAATTGTTTTGTCCTACCCGATTTTGCTTATATTGGTTTTTCAGCTTTCTGTCACCTGATTAAAATTTGCTCCACTCTAATGCACGCGGCGTGAACTTAATTCAGATGGTCATGACTCTGCTTTCTTAAACTTCCCTATACATTTCACATGACCTTTTGAAATGCTGTAAGTATGCCAAGTTTGATTAAATTGCATATAAAGTCACAAGACTAACAGCCGAAATATGATCGAAATGCCTCTGCGCAAGGTGTCTGTCCTTTTTCAATTCGGTGTTTTGATTTTTCCACCGCCACCCACGGGGACTCGGAGCTCCCTAGAACCCAACATGATGCAATTTCGCGTTCCTTAAAGGGCCGACGAACCTTCTGATTTCCACCATCAGTTTTCTCAGTATATTAATTGACTATACTATCAGACAGTCTATGTCGTAACCCACCTTATTAGTGGGCTCTTTTTGGCATTGATCAAACGTTAGCACTATCATGTTGCAAGCTACACCGGTAGGTTAGGATTAAGCAACGCACAATAGCTCAGAAGTTCTCATTCATCTTCATTTCCTAAAAGTAGTCTTCATGCTCATTTCAAATGTTTTAATGAGCTGGACAACGGGAGCTGACAGTTTCACCATATTGCGTTAGCAGCTCTGAATCACAAAATGCAAGAACACTCAATACCTGCAATGAAAATGGGACGTGCTGTCTTATCGTCTTGGCGGCCACCATAAAACGTCCAAACACAAATGAAGTTGTATTGTCTCAACGCAGAAGACATTTAGGACGCTTATTGGTTACCGTGGCACAAGAAAACAGCCCAGTAGGGGAGCTCTATGACAGAGGTGTGTTGACAAACGCATGATGGCATCCCAAAAAGTTCATACGTCTTCCGTTCAAACAGATACATTTGCCACGCTCAAAGGAACTGCTTACCTGGCGCTTCTCAAACCACACCTGGTGTTTTGCGTAGCTGGTGGATTTGGGTTTAATTCTGATCCTTGGTCCAACAGGCCATTGACGAATTCATATGATATAGCTTGTGATGGAAAGCCAGCTTGTGCAAATTGATCAGTGTGTACCCAATCCTTGGTTAGCAGCCCAACAGTGTCAATCAGAGAGTTACCCGATCGATTTCTTTATTCCCGGCTGCGAATCAATGACCTTGTGTGACGAACATTTTCACATGTAAGTTTTCTATTTGAAGGTGATTGATTTCCTCATTTCTTTTTCCGTGTATACGACCAGCGGATACTTTCTCAGGCCACATTTAGAATTGCCCCACAAATGAAGGTCCGAAGTTCCCAAGGACTCGACATATTAGCGGACCTGGGGTAACAATGAAATTTTTACCTATGCCAATTGTTTCTGATATTGCTTCCTCCGATGTTTTTGCACTGTCCGTAAATTTATGATTGCGGAAAACCAGATACGTCCAAGTTTGTGGTAAACCAAGCAAAAATGTGACTTTTAAGCATCTGCGACAAAACAGTTTGCACCCTTTCAGTAACTTTATAAGGTAACTACGGGAATTCCCATCCGCGTGGCTGAACTAGTCCACTGTAAGATGAAGGCACAGTTTTGTGCCAAGGAAGGTGGATTGCAATCTACCCGAGTCACCTGGTCATGTGATATTATACTAGATTAGCCAATACGCACTGCATTTGAATGAAATTCAGTTAGGAAAGTCGACGCAAAATCCGCAGAAATACCGGAGAAATGGTAGATTACTTAAGTCAGCTACATTTGGCGGTCATAAGGCTTGTCGACTCTTTCCGGAGGTAGGTTTGACTGATAGGTTGTTGATCTGTGGAAATATGTTTTACGTCTTATCCAAAAACCGATTTGTGAAATTATGAAAATATGGAGATTTCCCAAACTGTTCAGTACATCGGTCAGAAAACGACCGCTCACAGTAACAGACACTTGACTCTGATTTTTCATGTTCCTTGAAAGAGATCTCGCTTATAGTTTTCCGTCTGCCTTGAAACCCAGTCAACTTGGTTTGGAAAACAACCGTCAGTGACAAACCAACAGCATTCTGTGCGACTGTCACTGAATCAGTTCGCCGAATGTGTGAACAGCGTCTTATGGGGGAAAAGGGTTAGATCGAA